GTGAGCACTGGGCAGAGCAGCTGAAAGGACGCCTGGGATGCCCACAATCCTCCATCCTGAGTGCTGGGTTCCAGTCCCAGCTCCACTTCCCACTCCAGCTTCTGGCACATGTGCACCCTGGGAGCAGTAGGTACTGGCTCTAATATTTGGGCCCCCGTCATCCATGTGGGAGACCCTGATTGAGTTCCTAGATTCTAGCTTTGGTCTGTTCTGGGATTTGAACAGTGCACCAGCAGAGGGTACAGCTCACTAGGTCTCCATTTCTCTGCCTCTATGCTTTTCAGACAAGTAGGGGACGTGGTAGGGGCAGAAAGGTGACCAAAATCAATATTGACAGCAAAGTAAAGAAATTGGAGCTCTCATACACACCTGATGGAATGTAAACTGACAGAAGCAATTGAGAAAACATTTGGTAATTTCTTAAAAAAAGGCAAACATCCACTTCCCATATGGTTCATTCTATTGCAAGTATTTACTCAAGAGAAAAGGACACAGGTATCCATATTAAAATGTTCCTACCAGCTTTATATGTAATTGTCAAACACTGGAAACAAAAGTTCATTACGAGATAAACTCGTACCCTGTCATAATGACATATTATTTAACAATGAGAAGAAACAAACCATTAATAATACATACAGTAACACAGAAGGGCCTTGAAAAATTAAACAGATTAAAATAAGTCATAGGATGCATATGGAAAGATACACTACAAGCATTTATTTGCAGAAAATACTGACACATCTAGTGACAGAAGTCAGTCAGTGTTGTATGGGGAGCAAGGTCAGGAGACGAGAAAAGGGCACAAGAATTTTCTGGAGTGACATGAGTACAATATTTTCATTGTGCTCAAGGTCCAACAGTATTCATATCAGAAATTTTAAAGGGTATATTTCAAACACGTGAGGTTTATTACACATCAGTTACAACTTTATAAGACTGTTTTTAAAGAAGATGCCTTGGCTTCCAGCCAAGATGGCTTGGCTTTACCCTCCTGATCAAAGCAACCCAGAAAATGAGACCAAATATACAAGACAAGGGTGAGCAGACCCTTGCTGGGGAGCCTGGCAGCCCAGGAGGGTGACTGCAGAGAAGGGGAGACTACTTCTCAATCCATTCTAATAGGAAAACCAGGGAATTACAAGAGGACTACAGTATTATTCATGATTACAGCTACAAAAATCCCTAATAAAATGTCAGCTGATAAAATCCAGCACTGTATGTAAAATGCAACCCCGGGGGCACCGCAGAGTGAATGTCATTTGAAAGCACTGGAAAGAGCTTCCTGCAGAAGTTGACTCACGGGTGTACCCCAGGCTGACAAACATAGCTTTAACAGGTGGTGACGCTGGGGAGAGCAAATGGCAGGAAAATTCACAGATGAATATCAGAAGGTGGCAAACTGCCCAGGGTCAAGTAGGCATGTTTGTACCAACTGGGTGGCTCCCAGGCTACCAAAGAAAGTCCTGTCCCTGGGATATATCCCCCACTCTAGGCATACCTTGGAATGACCCTGCTCCCACCCCAGTCCAACCGTATTACTCCAGAGTTAGACACACCAAACAGAAACAATCAGATCTGCCCAAGATTTTGAAATTCTAATGAGGAGGTGCCCTGCCTGGATGTGCTGAGATCAAATGAGCATGCCTAAAGGCAGCCCCACCCAGGAACGCCTGCTGCTCAAGTCTCCAAAGCTGGCTGCTGCTTGTGTTTCCCTAAGCTCTTCAGCAATTTCTTGCATCCCAGAGCAACCTCAGAGCATTACAGACTTTCCTTGTAGCTTAAATTGGCAAGAGGCAGTTTCTGTTGCAACCAAAATAAATATATGGGTTCAACAAGTATCATGATATTGGCCACTAGATTTATTTTTATGAAAGAGTCTGTCACTACACAAACATTCTAAAATCCCAGGGACACAGGTAAGGCTCTGTGAAGGGAATTCTTGAGAATCAGATAACGTTGAAAAGGTGAGTATGATCTGCGTTTACCAAAAGACAGTACAGGAGGGTAGAGTTTACAGGAGAGGAAAGGCACTAAAGGTTTCTATACACTTGTAAAAAGACCATTTACTTATTTGAAAGGCAATGCGACAAAGAGGGAGACAGAGAGATCTGCCATATGTACTGGTTCGCTCCCCAAATCCTGCAACAGCTGGAGCAGATCCTGGAACTCCACCTGGGTCTCCCATTGGGGTGGCAGAGAACCAAAGTAGTTGGTTCATCATTTGTTGCCATCTTAGAGACATTAACGAAAAAGCTGGATTGTAGGCAGAGTGGCTGGGGCTCAAACTGGCACCCTACTGTGAAGTGCAGGTGTCCCAAGTACTTGTTTAACCCACTTGGCCACAACACTCACCCTACCACTAAAAGTTCTGAGCAGGAACAAGATATGTCTAAAGCAATCTTACTGTAAAACGATTACTAGGCAACCTATAAGGCAAGGAGTATAAACTGGCAATATGAACTGGGAGTCTGTTCATTGATCCAAGTATGAGAAAATGGCCACTGGAATGATATGCCCAGACCTTTCGTACTCTCAAACTGCTTCTTACTTCCAGCACCTGGCTTGGAGCCAGGCCCTCAGTGGGCACTCAGAGTGGATCAAAGCAGGGAAAGATCAGTGCTGGGCCGAGGGGTTAAGATGCTGGTTAGGATGTACGTGTCCCAAAGCAGAGCAGCTGGGTTTGATTCCTGACTCCAGCTGCCTCCTAGTGTGAACCCTGGGAGGCAGTGCTGATGGCCTGGGTGGCTGAGCTCCTGCTACCCATAAGGAATACCCATCTCCTAACCCTGGTGCCCTGGTGGTGATGAGAAATTGGGGAATGAGTAAGCAGGTGGGAACCGCTGTCACCTCCATATTTCAAACAAATACATAAAAGTTAGGGAGCAAAAAGGGGAAAACAGGTAAATCTAAGGCAGTTTCAACCTTAGTTGGCAATTTTAATGAAATAGAAGTGGTAAGAAGTCTGACAGGTTAAGATGTGTTCACAGGAATGAGTGTGTCATGGTAGACCACTTCGAGGCACTGCTTGTGCTTCCACAGCACTTCCCACGTGTGGGGTTAGGAGTGCAGAGCTGGATTAGGAGGGCACGGGGTATGGGGTTTGGGGGTAGTAGGCAGTCTTGGGGGCGCTCAGTCAATCTCCTGGAGTTTCATTTGCTTCCTAGAATGAAGGATCCTATGTGCCAACTGCTGAAGAGTTCACAGAGGTATGACAGTGAATGAGGCTGTGATAGAAGCATTATCAGGATCCGGAGTTTACCAGGTTTCCTTTAAAAGACTCAGCCTGGGAGCCAGCACTGTGGCATAGTGCGTATAGCAGTTGCCTGCAACACTGCACCCCATATGGGTACTGGTTCAAGTCCCAGTTGTTCCACTTCCCATCCAGCGCCTTGCTAATGTATTGGGAAAACAGTGGTTAGGCCCCTACACTTACATAGAAGACCTGGATTAAGCTCCAGGCCCTGTTTCTGTCTTATTTCAGTGCTACCTGTTGCAGTCATTTGGGAAGTGAATCAATGAATGGATGAAAGATCTGTATGTATGTGTGTCTTTGTGTAACTGATTTTAAGACTTTCAAATAAATAAATAAGTAAATCTTTTAAAAAGTCAGGCTGAATTATCAGACCAATTTATTCATGAGCATGGGTATCATGGCCTGTCCTGGCCACAGAAAGGACAGCCTGGGAGCAATGGCATTCAGGATAGGAATGGTCCAGATAGACACAGGGAAAAAAATATTACCTTGGGCCTGGCGCAGTAGCCTAGAGGCTAAAGTCCTTGCCTTGCATGTGCTGGGATCCTATACGGGTACCGGTTCATGCCCCAGCAGTCCCGCTTCCCATCCAGCACCCTGCCTGTTGCCTGGGAAAGCAGTCAAGGACGGCTCAAAGCCTTGGGACCCTGCACCCGCGTGGGAGATGTGGAAGAAGCTGCTGGCTCTGGCTTTGGATTGGTTCAGTTGCAGCCATTTGTGATCGCTTGGGGAATAAACCAGCAGATGGAAGCTCTTCCTGTCTCTCCTCCTCTCTGTATATCTGACATTCTAATATAAATAAATAAAAATTTTAAAAAAGACAATATGGCAATTCCACATGGCTGTGAAACCATGCATTGCCTGGTGAAGGTGTGAGAGGAGTCCAGAGGCAAGGAAAAAACCGTCACCTCCACCAACAGCTGTGAGGGCTGGGGGCAGGGCAGCCACAGAAATGAAACACACTGGCACACTGTGACATGGGTTTGTGTGGAAAAAGGAGAGTTAGGGGGCAAAGGAGGAAGCCTCTTAACAGGTATCTTCTACCTATATCCCAGTTCTACCTAAATCTTCAGTTGATGTAATGTCTCTTGGATGCCAAGTCTAGCTCTTGGCAGAGGCTAGAAAGCATGTTCCTACACTCTTCCTCAAGGAGATCCAGAAGCGGAGGCTTCGGAATATGCTGTGTCCAGCAAACAGGATAGACCCCAGTGGCTGCCCCCAGCCGCCAGCAGGGAAGCAGCGAAGCAGTGCTCACGAACTCCATCAGTTCTACAGCTGGGGCCGGGTCACAGCCTCAACAGGGGAAGCCAGAGAACCACATGTCTTCAGAAAGGAAACTGACACTTCCACCAAACCCACCCCAGGTCTATTTCAGCAAAATATCCAGTGTTATAAATAGCAAAACCAAGATGACAACTTGACTGATTTCAGTTCTGACATTAGCAGGGAGCCTGGGTGCTAAGGGACAGAAAGTAAACCACAGTGTGAAGACATCATACTGGGACACACAGCCAGCGCTCTGCCCTCCCCCTGATGGCCTTAATGACAGACTCCTATGGTTCAGTCTGCAGAGTTGGAACCTGAGAGTTCCAACACATTCACAGTGCAGTTTCACTGGAGTCTGTGGGAACCATGGAGGAAAGCCTGGGCAGGAAGCACTCTTCTGGCCCTCGGGCGGCAGAGAGAAGGACCCAGGCGAGCAACAGAGCCACAAGCAGGACAAAGGGCGAGCGCACGTGCTTACCTTTGTTGTGAGACATGGCGTAGAGGAGGCAGAGCACAAAGAGGGCGTGGTAATCGTCCTCTGGGCTGTCCAGGGCATGGTACACCATATCCAAGAAAGGTCTGGAAAGGAGGAGGGGACTGCATGACTTCTGTGGCATGCATGTGTCAACAGTGCACACAGAGCACTCACTACCCATGTCTCTTAGGCTGGGTGGGCAGTGAGTCCTTGGGGTGCCCAGTCCAGTACCACGCACCAAGAACACTAAAACAAAGGAGCATAGACCCTGTCTTCACGAGGGGAAACTCTAGATGGGACAAATCGTGGAGTCATTCAACAACCTGTCTCCTGGCATCCCCAACACTGGGGATCAATGACACAAATTTCCAGCTCTTGGGCACAGCCATGCCAGTCAGCAGTGACTGAACACACACATCCTCCCTTCAAAACAGAGGGTCACAACAGAATGAAGAAAACAGGGCAAGATGATCAGCACAGACAAGACACAAACAAGAATCTCAACAAGTTAAAAAAAAAAATCATGGGGCCTAGGGCCAGACTGCCTGGGTTAAAATTCTGATTTTTCTAATTTTGTCTCTTCTGCTGCAAACCCTTGGGCCAGTTACCTAAAATTACTTTGATGGAGATTAGAAGCCTGCAGGGTTACTTGTGAGGATACCAAAGGCATTCAGGACAGGCTCAGGCATCCTGGAGGCTCCCAAATGCCTGGGTGCTGTTCTTCAGTTTCTATTTCCAATATTCCAAAGGCACTTCCCCATGGTTTCATTTCGACAGGAACCTAGCCCAGCAGTTTCTTGAACTGTTTCCTTTGCCAGTGAGAATCAATAGTGATGTCTCTCACCTCTGATGGTTTGTGGGATCTACAGGGCAGCTGCAGATACAGCAAACTGCACATGACACACAACTGCCTTTCCAGGTGAAGGGCCTGACCCGAATGGCTCTCTAACACAAGGCTACTGCAGCAATGCACGAGCCTGGCCTACAGCTGCAGGTGCAATCCCATGACGCACTGCGGCTGCCCTCTCTGGATGACAAGTTGAGGCAAAGCAAGTAGAGCTAAATGGTGATTAGGGACACAGCTAACCCCAGGAAAAATGCACAAACTACTATCAACATCAGCGTCTGTTGTGAAACTGAGTGGACAGAGCAAGAGGGAGCCTGCTCACTGCAAAATCATTAATACTTTTCCCCAAATTAAACTCCATAAATGCATCACTGATATAGAACATTAAACTCAAAAATGCAAATATAGTGAAGATGTACTTTTCATAGTATTTTAAATGAACATGTGATACGCAAAAAGTTCTGTTTTCTTGTGTTGCCTTGTGAGCAGGTGGGTTCATGCTAAGCTCTGGAAAACACGGGGCCATTCCTCCTACCCTCCCCCAACCTTATCACCTCCTAGCCCCCAAGCCGGGACTTGCTGGACAGAGGCCCTCAACATGGCTGACAATCACCAGAAGACAGCAACTCTCTACCTATGATCAAACTCTTCTCTGGTCTCTCTCAGGGAATGGCAGAGAGCTTGCCCAATGCTTCTCAGGCCTGTGATGGCCAATTCCATCTCCCATGGTCTAAGACGCCAGCCAAGAATCACAGAGTCAAGCAACAATCCCAGTCAACCCTTCTGCTTCAGAGAAAAAAGTCATCCACGTTAACATTCAAAAACAGCATCTTAGTCTGTTTTGTACCTTTTGATTGAGCAATGCACAAATGTTTTTCTTCCTTTAGTAAAGTTACTGTATTACGGTACTATGCAAAATATGTGCTCTGGTTTCATTTATTGCATCTGAAGAACTGAACTCATCACAGCTATAACTCAATTAAAGCAGAAAAAAAAAAACCCTCCACTCTTCCAATATTTTCCTGCTTGCCTAGCAGCCCTCAGTGGTAGTCTCCACGGATTTCCCAGGATTCACCATCTAACCATCGCTGTGCCAAGCATCTAAGGCTACCCCCACCTTCCGTGTTTAGAACGACTTCCTTCATTTTCAGTTTCAAAAGGTTTTTTTTTTTTGCTGCCAAGCAAAATCAAAAAGACCTTGATAAGTTATAACTAATAGCCCACACCATACTCTAATTTTTTTTTTATTTGGTAGAAACTAAAAATGGTTCTCTTGCACATCTGTCAAAAATGAACTCCAGCTGCTAGACAGCTGGAACAGTTGTCACACAGAGACACAAATAAGATGTGGAGGGAAAGCTTAGTGGGCTTTGAGTCCTCGCTGGAGGCTGGAGAACTGTGTCTCTCCACAGTCCACCCTGAGGGCCCAAGGAGCGCTAGCTGCTCACTCTGACAGACAGCCACCCTGCCGCATACTTAGCAAGCCAGTGCAGGACCTGTGCAGTGGCCGCTTGATAAGGAAACAACCCCAAAATGGGGAAGGCTTCCCAACAGCTTACTGTACAGAGAGTGGGACCACAGTAAGGTTCCAGGAAAAGTAGCTTGGCCAAGGTTGAAAATGTAGCTTCAACAGGCCATCAGGGAAATGATCCGTCAGGCAAAGGTCAGGGGTGGAGAGCGGAATTAAATCATGTCTGCTGGGCCCTGCGGGGAGGTGGGTGGATGACGGATGCATGGCAGTGAATGAATGAGGAGGCAGATGAAGTCCAGCTCCCAAGGAGACTGCCCCTGCAAAGCACAGGGCAGATCCAGGAGTGGCCAGTGGGAGGCACGGATTGCACTCCTGATGGAGCTAGTCCTGAGCAGGTATCCTATGTTGCTCATTCTCTTCCCAAGGGGCAATCATCACAGGAGGAGCCCTGCCTTTGGGTGGCCAACAGCTGGACAAGCAAGGACAGGAAGCGAGGCAGGGCGGCCGGGAGCAGATAGCAGGGGCCGACGAATGGGCGAGGCATCCGATCTCGCAGCTAAGTCGTCTCTTCCTCCTGGAGCAGCCAAGTCCCAGCCAGCAGCACCCAGCAGGAGCTGAGCGAGGCCCCAGGAGCGTACCTGCTGCACTGCAGGCTCTCGCGGCTCGTGGCTGCAGCACTCTTCTCCTCGTCCGTGGTGTTCTGCTCCTGCACAGAGCAACCAGTGGCCAGATCCGAGAGCTTGCTCCGCTCCATGATCACCATCTCGATCTCTGGAAGCAAAGACAAGACTGGGGTCAGCCCAGCGGCTTCACAGACCTGGATTTGCTGACATACTCTGCTGTGAGAATAAAGTCATGTGAATCCCTCCTATCAGGGCAAGCTGCTTCCATCGATGGCAACCTAAACAGCAGCAGCACATGGGGGAGAAACAAGGCAAGGCCAAAACCGCTCTCCTGATCCATCCTGGGGACACCAGGAAACATGTGCCTGGTTTTGACAACAGAGCACAAATGGCAATCGTTTATTTTATTTCAAGATTAAAGATATTTATTTTACTTTATTGGTACCACATTTATGTCCCAAGGATTTGAGGCAGCTTCACAGATATGCTATGTGGTTAATAAAACATAATTACGTAATGAAAGGCATGGAAAACGTACTGAAGCTGTTCACACATTAGAAAAGACTTTTGACAGGGATGGCTCAATTAGCTAATCCTCTGCCTGCAAGTGCCAGCATTCCATACGGTTGTTAGTTCATATCCTGGCTGCTCCAATTCCCATTCAGCTCCCTGCCTGTGGACTGGAAAAGCAGCAGAGGATGACCCAAGGCCTTGGGACCCTGCACCTGCATGGGAGACCCAGAAGAGGCTTTGGATAGGTTCAGCTCCAGTAGTTCCGGCCACTTGGGGAGTGAGCCAGTGGATGGAGGCTTGTTCTCTCTGTCTCCTCTGTTCTCTGTAAATCTGCTTTTCTAATAAAAAAAAAAATCTTTAAAAGGAATTGCCTTCTCTTCTTTTCTGCCAATTCAATGCAGGCAGGCTGTGGCAGTCTGGTGCACAAATTCACTTTTCAGGACAAGTTCAGACCATTCTGAGTCTCGGGTGGGTGAAGGCTGTGCTACTTGACCCCCTCTCAGAGCCGCAGCCTGCGCCTGCACAGTCAGCCCCTGGGACTCGGGGTTCAGCTCACCTCTCCCACTTTGGGAAGCCCCGTGGGGATTAACAAGACGATGAGCTGCAAACTTAGCTTCTCTTCCAGCAGGACCCAGAACACCGACACTGTGGGCTCTGAGGTGGCCTGTACCAAGGGTGTGGCCTCTCCCAGGGCATGGTCTCATCAAGGGCATGGCTTTCACAAGAGCTTCCTAACTGGCCTGGTTTCTTTTCTTGCCCCTCTACCTTATGTCCACACAAACCTGGATGATGTGAAACGGAAATAAGCTCCTGTCAACCTTCAGTCCAAAACCCCCAATGCTTCCCATCACACTCCAGAAGAAATCCCAAAGCCTTCCCACGGCCCCAAGGCCTTGTACAGCCTGGCCTCTGTCCACTGCTGACCTCACCTCCTGGCCCCTCTGCCTTGCTGGCTCATGCCCCTGCAGTAATGCAGGCTCCTCTCTAGAATATTCCCAGCTGTTTTTGCACCCCTCCTCTCCTCTCCCCTGCCAGGATCCTTGCATGGCTGTTTCCCCTAGGGCCTTAACCTCGGTCTCCTTTAGGATGCAGTGACTTGCTCATAGCATTCAAGACTACTGGGAGACACCTTTCAAAAGGCCTTTTCTGGATCATTATTGACTACACCACATGCTTTGCTCAGATTTCACTGCCTTCTTTCCAATGTCCTTTACCCATTCCAAGGACCCCTGTCACATTCAGCTGTCATTCATAGGCACTTCCAGGCTGAGGTAGTTTAAGACTTTCTTCACTTTTGATAAGTTTGACACTGTGAGAACGGGTTAAGGACTTTGAAGGGTCCCTGGATTTGGGTTTGTCTGATGTTTTCCTGGTAATGAGATGGAGGGGCAGGATATGGGTTGGGGACATAGGGTTCCCAAGGGTCCCCAAGGCTGGGAGACAGTCACAAAGGGAAGTACCTTTCTAGTCCCATCACATCAAAGGCAGCTCTCAATAAGACCGGTGACGGCAATCTTTATGCTGAGCCAAGCTCATCTAACGCCCCCTGGGCCTTTCTCTTGCGTCACTGTGCACTGGGGAGAGCAGTCACGAGGAGAGCGTGCCTCAGGTATTGGCAATTCCTCCGCAGACTGCTCTCCCAGCCCCTTCACCCTGACTTCACTTCTCGGCACTGACAGCCATGGTGAGGCTGTTCTGCTTGCCTGCTGCCTGCCTCTGCTGCAGGGTGGGCAGGCTTCCTCTCAGCGCAGCTGTCCTCTCTGCTTGACCCCTGCCCTAGGGCCTGGCTCAGAGGACTTGCACACGGTAACTCTTGAATGGATGATGGGTCCTGCCCAATACAGGAAGTCCTGGTAGTGGTTGGGGCTGATTCACAGTGGGTGTGACAAGCAGCCCCCTGTCTCCCCATGATCTGTGCACAAAGAAGGCTCATGCGGAAAGGACTTACTCCCTCCTTCTGTTTGGCATAACTGCATTTCAAACTCCACTCTAGGTTTGAAGCTCCACCCTACACAGGTCCACGTCTCCTGGAGACTCTTTCAGCCCACAAGTCAGAGGGCACGCATGGGAGTCAGGGCTGACCACTTCCCACACACAGACGGGGGCAGCAGGTGATTTCTAACTAGTCTGCAAACAAATGCTTTGTTTGCACAGCTTTCCATTTATTTCACTGGGCATGAAAAGAAAATTCTAGCTGCACAGAAAATCTACTCTTTGGTGAGTGTTGGTGCTTAGACTGAGGTGAGCTCAAAGGGAAAAACAAGAGTCAAGTCAAGGAAAGCTACTGTGTGCACAGCAGCACAGAGGGAAGGCTGCAGAGCCCACGTCTGGCCTCTCTAACACTGCACCACACGCCCTCCTGTGGGCATGGCTCAGCCCCAGTCTGGCCAACGTGGCAGGAACTCAGCTCCTAGGATGCGCCAAGGTATCAGAGTCATGCATCAGGACCTCTCCTGGAGGACAGGTCTGCCATGGATATGGCTGTTGCCTCTCTGGCTTTTTGATCATCTCGAACACTACCAGAATTCTGGGGCAGAGAAGTCCAGGGTCTGTCAAGCTAAATATTTACATGAAAGTCCACTTCCTAAACACACCAGCCTGGTGAACCGGATGAGGCTGAATAAGCTACAGGCAAGGGCCGGGGCGGCCAAGCATGCCCAGCCATGAGTCCCCTCATACCATTCCCGGAGGCCCTGCCCCAGAATTGAGGCTTTGGGGGAGGAGGGAATGTCTAAAAGCCCCTGGTTTGGCCAAATCCTGCAAATCCCGAGGACACCGAGATCCACAAATGCAGACAGAAAGAGGCAGCAGTGACACCCCCAGCCCCATGTCACAGCATGGGCAGGCCCAGGCCCACAAGGGCCTCAGCACACAGCAGGAGCTGCCAAGCACTCGCTACGTCACCCCCACAGGCCTCTCATCCTGCCAACACAGTCATGCGCTCATGAGCTGCTCCTCGCAGCCTTCCCAGATGAATGTAGACTTTCCCCCTTTTTTTCTGACAATTTTACCTTAATAATTTTTTTAATTATTAAGTTATTTGAAAGGCTAAGTTACAGAGACAGAGAAACTGACAGAGGGAGATCTTCTATCTGCTAATTTACTTCTTAAATGGCTGAAATGGCCAGGTTTGGGCCAGGCCAAAGCCAGGAGCCAGGGGCTACATTTGAGTCTCCCATGAGAGAACAGGGGCCCAAACATTTGAATCATCTCTGCCTTAGCAGAGAGATGAATCAGGAGTGGAGCAGCTGGGTCTCAAACTGGCACCCTTGAGGGATGTTGGCACAACAGACAGCAGCTTAACCCACTGTGGCACCCTGATCCTAACAATTTTAAAAATAAGTTCTTACCAAGGGACTGCCAAGTACCTAAATCTGTTTGTAAGGTGTCACGCAGGCATGAGAGTATAGAGCAACAGCTTTCTGGGAAGAAGGCTACCCAAGTTCCCATTCTCTAAAGTAGATTCTAAGCCATGTGTAAGACGATGTTGAGGATCATCTTGAGGCTGCACTGAACCTTGCCAAGGTGTAACATTAGCAGATCCGGCACAGCTCTGGGCCGCCCTGAGACCCTGCCTGCTCCTCTGAGACCCTGCCTGTTCCTCTGAGACCCTGCCTGCTCCTCTGAGACCCTGCCTGCTCCACTGCGACCCTGCCTGCTCCACTGAGACCCTGCCTGCTCCCCTGAGACCCTGCCTGCTCCTCTGAGACCCTGCCTGCTCCACTGCGACCCTGCCTGCTCCACTGAGACCCTGCCTGCTCCACTGCGACCCTGCCTGCTCCACTGAGACCCTGCCTGCTCCACTGCGACCCTGCCTGCTCCACTGAGACCCTGCCTGCTCCACTGCGACCCTGCCTGCTCCATTGAGACCCTGCCTGCTCCATGCAGCTAAGCTTCCCTCCCAAGGTACCTGTGTCATGCTGCAGCCGCCAGGGAAAGCAGCGGGGTGGGTTCCTGTGGACACAGGGGTCTCTGACAGAACCAGAAGCCACCACTGATGACCCATTTCCACTGGAACCTCAGCTGCCACGCACGGACTGCTGTCTTACCCAGCCAGGTTTCCATGCAGTCTAAAGGGATTGTTGTAGCAATAATTTAGCAGTATTCTGTTCAAACTTCAGTCACTTGCTTGCCTATCTGATATTTGTCATTCCTGTATTGCTTGTGCTACTTCTTGCTTATTTAATCTGATCTATTTCCCTGTTTTCCCACTTATCTGCAGCTTAAAAGGGACTGTTGAATCATTGTTACACTCTTCAGTCGAGTAATCCCACGTGTAAGGATTTATCTGGAAGCTCCAATAATATGAACATGTCAATACACAAAGCACTCATAGCAGTATTCTCTCTAATTGCTAAATGCTGGAAACTACCTAAATGCCCAAGCATGACAGACCGGCTGAATCAACTGTGCTCCATGCAGCGCAGCTGGGAGAAGGAATGAGGAAGGCCTCTGTGACCTGATAAGGAGTGATTTCCGGAGATATGAAAGTGAACAGTGCCAAGTGCCAAGCAGCACATGCAGTACAGTGACCAAGTGCAAGACAGAGGGTAGAGAAGGGCCATCACAGTGGGATAGCTGGCTAAGCCATGGCCACCATGCCAGCATCCATATGCGCACTGGCTGCTCTACTTC